GGAAAAGGTCCTTTGTACTTCTGGTTAAATTTATTCCCAAGTATTTAATCTTGTGATTAGCTATTGTGAAAGGTATTGTTTCTCTTAGTCCAGCTCTGAGTGCAGACATTGTGCTTCTCTGTCCATCAGCTGAATGGAGCAGTAGAAGGATGAGGCTGAGTCTGTGTTCAGTGCTGTAACCCTAGGACCTCACCCTGTGCCTGACACACGAGGAATTCATGACTGTTACTTGCTGGACAAATGAACAAGAACATTTGTACCTGCCTCACACTATCAGAGTGGCTATTAAATGAGCTGATGCGTGAACGGCACTTCACCCAGCGTCTAGCAAGCGATGGGCATGAAACAGCAGTGATGGCTGCTACTGGTGGCTGTCTGGCTCCTGACAACTGACCAGAAGCTGCACACCCAGCTGTAGAGCCCTTGTTGGGTCTGGCCCCTCTTCTGGCTATCTGCTACCCTTCCTCAGTCCTCAGAGAATTCCAGCCAGCCTTGGACCTTCTGTCACTAAGGCCCTGACTTGTCAAACTGGTCAACAAGCTTATCAACAAGGTCAGGGTGGGTGAGAGCAAGAACCACACACTTTCATAAAAGCTACCTAATTAACATGCTTCCTAGGAAAGAACAGATAAAGGAAATAATTTCTTTAAAAGCCCCTTCCTGTGTGTCCAGGCTGGCCGAAAGCCCTCTCTCACTTCCCACCAGCACACACACACACACACACACACACACACACACACGCGCGCGCGCGCATGTACATACACACTTGCACATCCACCCCTATTTCCTCCTTATCCTAGACATGGTCAAGATTATGAAGGGGCCAGTGTAACCCTGACAAATGGAGAAACTCACTACAGAGCCCATTCCTACATTGAGACCCCAAAGGTTGTAAGACCTGGGGTAAGAGTTTCTCTTTACCAGAGGCTAAGACAAGATCTTCTGAAGTAGACAGGATAGAGCTGAGAACAAAAGAACTCGGTATAGGAATCCTATTCTTGGATTCTAAGCATATCCATAATGTTCTTTGCTTCTCTGTATCTTTTCTTTTGCTTCTAGGGCAGGAGCAATTTGGTGAGTTTGAAACATTGCTGAAAGGTTTCCCAGTGGTACAATGGTTAAACAGTTGGCTACTAATGGAAAGGTTAGCAATTGGAATCCAAAGCTCTGGTGATCTGCTTCCATGACAGTTAAATCCTAGAAAGCCCCATGGGACAGTTCTACTTTGTCACATGAGATCACTATGGGTCAGTTTAGATTGATGACTCTCAGCAACAACTCAGAGATTTAACCATTTGATCTCTCAAACTTGTACCAAGTCACTTCTCAAAAGGTCTAAGACGTGGTGGTGGTGGTACTCTCCCTGTCTGGCATCTCTCAGTGGCTCAGTGGCCCCCAGTTGGGTGCATCCCATGTTCCTCCAGGAGAGCAGACAGTGTACAGTCCACATCTCCCTTGTGCAGACAGTAAAAGGACCTTGGGCCCTGAGAACTCCCCCATGTATCATCCCTGTCTTTAGAGCAGTGAGTCCTTGCCCTTCATTTGCCCCAGGGAACACCCAGCATTACCCTCAGAGGAAGTGTAGGATGAGGTGAAGTCATTACAATGGGCTGTCAGCAGAGGTTTTGTTCACAAAGTTCAAGAAGCAAGCAGGGGACATTCACATTCACACATGCTCCCTGCTGTCAAGTCAGATGCAGTAATTGCTTGGGAAGAGACTGCCCATCTTTTTCTCCCCTGAAGCTGCTGGTGGATTTGAACCACCTTTGGCTAGCAGCACAACTCCCTGTGCACTACAACACCAGAACAGGAGACCGTAAGCCCTTATCTGAGGTGATAGAAAGAGACCTAGAGACCTGGACTCAGCCCTATCATTATACAGAAAAGGAGATCCAGGCCCAGAGTGGGGCAGCTTCTTGCCCGAGGAGGATCTAGTGACATTATGATAGCACTGCAATCAATCTGTGGAACTGAAATACTCCTCCTCAGACTTCAGTTCTCCCTTCCTCTTGACTGTTGTTATTGTGTAGAGCACGTGTCTTCCCATTCATGTCCTGTCTCCTTTATCAAAACCATCCATAGGACTCATGGAAGAGCCTTTCCCAGATGGGAGAAGAGGCAGATGCAGCTGATGGCGAAGGAGTAGCTGACTCATACTAAGACATGGAGCCCTGACTGGAATGCAGGAAAGGGTGAGGCAAGGAACAGCTCCCTCGTGCCCCTGTGGCCACTCCACAGTGACACTTGGGAATAAGACAGACACGAAGTGAGTCCCCATGGGGCTCAGAGCATCCTCATGGGAATGAGACCTGCACCATCTCCTAGTGCCTCACACTTTGCTGAAGACCCTCCAACCACTGTTGAAACAAACAAACAAAAAAAAAACCACAAGGGAGGGGAAGTGCTTGCCTTCACATTTTATGTTATTTATACCTCACCAACAATGTAGCTGGGCCTGACTTATCAGTCATGAATGGTGTATCCTTGAGAAGCACTTTAGTTTCTAAGAGTTTTAGCTATTGAGTGTTTTGTTTTGCTGTTGTTTTTTCATGAGTAGAGTGTAGAGAGAAAAGATACCTGCTTTGCAGAATGATTATTATTAGGATTAATAAAGAGAACATTTGCCAAGTTCTGAATTGGGCACCTGACACATAATACCTGAAGGGGCTTAGTAATGTAGATGAAAGAAGAGTTAGTAATGTAGATGAAATAAGAGTTGGCAGAGGGCCACGTGACATAGACAACTTGCTCAATAAAGACGATTATCAACAACTGTACCCAGATGCAGCAACTCAGGAAAGGGTCACAGGCCCCCAGGTACCAGGCGCCTCCTCCCGGGCCTCTTACCTTCACGGAAGGGCTGAGTTTGCATCTGCAGCCGGATCTTGATGAGGTCCACGGGCCCACCTAGCCCGACCGACACCACGCCGGCCACCATGCTCGCCAAGAACAAGTCAGACAGGGTGCGGGGAGGGCTGGCCTCGAGCTCCCGGCAGCGGTGCTGGCTGAGGAACCTCTGCGTGTTACTGAAGACCCCGAACACCACTGCGTTGTAGACGGCAATGCTCGCGAGGGGAAAGGACATGCCCTTGAAGAAGCCAGACATCTGCGGGAAGCCAAATGGGAAGAAGCGTGAGGGTCAAAGACCGCGAGAAAACTGGGATGGACTCTGCCTGCAGGTGTTGAGTGGTCCCCTCCCTCCACCAGGACCCTCCGCCAAGACCTTGCTGTGCAGAGTCTGCAAGCGGGCGGCGAAACACCCCATAATACAAAAATAAAAATTTAGTATTATGGAAGCTTCATAATACAAAACCCAGTGTGTCGGTGAGCAAAGTAGTAGAGGATACTGATGTGCTAGGGGGAACATCAGGCGTGGGGGTGTGGGCTGGACCTTATTACAGGCTGAATTGTATAACCAAAAGCGATGTACTGATTCACTACCTCTATAATTGTGTATGAGTTTACCTTGAAATAGGGTCTTTGCAGATGTAATAAAATTAAAATGAGGAGATCCTGAAGATTGGCTGAAAACAGACCGTTTATCCAATACCTGGTGTCCTTATAAGGAAGAGAGAGACCTGGACACATGTAGACACACACGGGGGGCGGGGGGGGGGAGGCCGTGTGAGGACAGGGGCGGAGACTGGTGTGATGCAGTCTCAAGCCAAGGAATGCTAGGGTTTGCTGACTTCTGTTAGGGAGAGACAGGAAAGAATTCTCCCCTTGAATCACTCTGGCCAACACCTTGATTTTGGACTTGGAACCTCCAGAACGAGGAGAGGATACATTTCTCTTGCTGCTGGTTGCCGTGGAGTAGATTCTGACTCATCGTGATTCTACTTGTGTTAACATGAAATGACTCCACAGCCTTCTCGGGTTGTGATCTTTTAAAATAGAGTGCCAATCCTGTCTTCTAAGGCACCTTTGGATGGAGTCGAGGTGCCAGTTTTTCAGAAAATAGTCCATAACCATCTATGTCACCTAAGTATGCCTTTGCTATCCCTTAAACCAAGCCCATCCTACGCCATTGAGCTGATTCTGACCCCTGACAACCTCTCCTTGGGTTTCCAAGGCTGTAACTCTTTGCAGGAGGAGACTGCCTTTCAGAGTGATTGTGGATTTGAACTGCAGATCTTCATGCTAATACCCCAACATGTAACATACCAGGCCACTGGGGCTCTTAGTGGTGATTTTTCACCACAACTGTTCTAGGTGCCCAGACAGGTAGATCTAAACTTGGTGCTGGGTCTGTCACCGGATGAGGAGCCAGCTCCTGCATGAGGTCCTGATCCCCTGATCCCTAGACTGGTGTCCAAGCAGTATTTTGGTTCTATCTAGGATGGTGATCTGCCACTATTACATCAGTGTTCTTGCCTGAGGGGGAACTCCACATGGATAGTGGACTGTGCAAGTCTCTCATACCCTTTTGCCATTTGCCTCTGAAACAAACAAATGATTCTCCAGATACCTACCATGTTCCAGGCCCTGGGAAACAAAAGAAAGAAAACAGTCTCCACTTTAGTAAGCTGCAAACCTGGGGGCTGCGGGCTAACTGACAGGTGACGATGAAACCACTGATAAGCCTACAATGAGGTAGTCAGAAAAGATACCACAGTCCCCAAGGGAACAGTGGAGGCCTCTGAATTTGGGTGTCTCTTGACCTAAGGAGTTGGAGAAGGAAACTTTGGAAGGTCAGCAGAGAGAGGTTTATGTACAGACAGGACACTGAAGGCCAGATGAGGTCTTTTCTATTGTGTCTTCTCTGAGAACTCGACAGGCATGCTGAGAACTGGAAAATTCCACAGGTTCTTGGGGAAGTTCTGGACAGCATACATGTTTTCTCCTCTGTGCCAATCATTGTATACACTCCAGGCTGTACAAACCACTAAGACTGATCTGTGTGCTGTGGCTCTGTTTGCTATGGGCAGGATATCTCACAGACACACCCACCTCACTACAGGATCTTCCTCTTTCACAAGGTCCTTTAGATTTGGAAGACAGTTTAGCCCTAACCTGCTGTGTCTCAAAGAAGTGCCACAGTGCCCACAGAAACCCCACAGCCAAGGGCGTGGCTGGCAGACACTGCCTGGAGGGATGAGCGTCAAAAAATGCAGATCAACAGCCAGCTTTCAGGGGATGGAGAATCACTGCCTTCCCCTAGGACAGCAAGTCCTAAGTTTACAGTGCTTGATTGGAAAGCAAGCGATCAAGGCTGGGGGTGCTTTAGGTGCAGACTGGAGGCTTCTGAGCCCTGAGGCAATTCTAAGGGTGGATGGAGTCTGGAGAGCCACCACCAAAAGTGGGCTCATATTTCCAGGGACTAGAGGAAGAGTTGTTTGTCACAGGGCTGGTGCCTGAACAGTTTTAAAATCAGTAGGTCATTTCAACTGAAATTTTGATAATTCTTTTTAATTCCCAAAAGATGAGCCTAAGAAAGTCCTCCTAAAACACACGCTGATTCTCAAGAAAAGGATTTGATGGAAAATAAACGCCTAACCAGAGCTGCAAGGGAGCCCTGGTGGCCTAGTGGCAAGAAGCTGCTCTGCAGTCCCTTAGGCACGTGGTTCAAGGCCACCAGGTGCTCTGAGGGAGGAGGATGGGCAATCTCCTCCCTTGTGTTTAACTGCCTCTGAAAACCTGCTAGAGGGTCAGCTATGGGTTGGTTCTGACTTGACAGTACACAACAACAACCAGAGGTGCTATCAGATGGATTCTGGCACATGGAGACTCCTCGCATATCAGATGAAAACTGTGCTCTGAAGGGTTTCCAAGTCTGCATTTTTTA